GCTGAGTGACCGGCTGCGATTGGAATGAAAATAGTAGTAGTAGTAGTAGTAGTAGTAGTAGTAGTAGTAGTAGTAGTGGTAGTGGTAGTAGTGGTAATGGTAGTGGTACTAGTAGTAGTAGCAGTGATAATAATAGTAACCTTGGGCCAGGGACAAGGCGGTGGCCACGGCAACAAATCATTTGGAGGAGGAGGCAATGGAGGAGGTGGATACCAGCGCTCCAATCGAGGAGGATGGGGCTCCAACAAGTGGAAGAACTGGAAGAATGACAATGACAATGATGAGAAGATTGGAGACCCTGAAGTTCTTGGTCAGCCAGTTGGCGAAACTCTGCCTGAGGCATGAGGACTCGGTGAACATGTGGAGGGCTGAGAGTTCGTTTGTATTATTCATTCGAACTGGAATCCCTGGAAGCCTTGTTCCGTCACTCTACTCTGCGAAAGCTGAGTGGCAAAAAATCCGGGATGAAACCCCGGAGAATCAAGCGACCGATGCGCAGCGTCCTATTCAGCTGCTTGTTCAAGGAGATGCATGAGCGGCTGACCATCCTTCGAGGAGATGCCCAACGGCGCACCAGCATGGAGAAGCTGGGGTGGATCAAGGGTGAGAATTTCCAGCGTCTCAAGTGGGACCCGAAGCTCAAGAAGAATGTCATCGATGATGAGGAAGGATTGTCGGAGATCACGTATGAAGACGTGTTGGCGGTGCTCCGGTCCATGATGACGCGATGCAACACGGTGGAGGCGCTCCTGCGCTTCCACCCGACGAGGCCCATCACGGAGCAGATGCACGAGGGCACGTTGGCATTCTTGCTGCAGTTTTCGCTGCAGAATGAATCCGGGATGCAGCTTTATGCGGACATGAGTCAGCTGTGCCACTGCGGGTCTACGATGGTTTGTGGCATAGAGGTGAAAAAGGAAAGGAACAGCAGAAACCAGCTGGCAAATCAGATCAGCAGGCTGCTCAATTCCTTGTGACAGGACCCTGAGCCAGAAAAGAGCTGAGCTCGGAGTGCGCTTGGCACTGTCGGTGCGGCACTCTGTGCTGGGCTTGCTAGAAGTTTTGGAAGATCCAAAAGAGATCCGTCGTGTACAACAGCTCACGGTGGAGGATGCGTCACAGCTTATGGATTTGGGTTTCAGGGTCAATCCGGCCTTCGAATGAGACCACAATGTTCATGTGTATTACAAGTCACGGGGGAACGTGACATCAAGCTTGCGAAGAAAAAGATCGCCAGTGGTGGGTTTGGCAGCACACAAACATGTTGTGATGATGGTGGCTTGCCACTATACCGAGGTCATGACAAAGCAAAGAAAACCCAGGAGTGTGCATCAAGTTTGCAGGATACTGGAAGTTGTGACAGACATCCTGCCTCAAAGCTTCAGGAGAGCAAGGTGGCGGACTATGTCCTTGAGCTGAGTCCCAAATGATGAGTGACATTTTTCGTGTAGTGTATCTATGCATACCAATCGGCTTGTTCAACGTACTGTACAGTGTCAAGATACGAACTCCCGATTCGCTGATGCCTACTCTGTGGAGCTGGGAGCTGTCGGCTCGTCCACGGATGGAGATGGGCTTGGTGCTGTCGGCACGCCATTCTCCAAGGGCAGTTGTTTCGTTTTTAGTATTGTTCCTAATCCCCCTGCTTTTAAGGGACTCGTTCCACAAACGTTCCGGGAGCATGCGATCTTTAAGAGATCATACTGTGCTTCTTTTTGTTATCTACGGGCCTAGCGCGCTCCCGAGAGAAGCCGATGCAGAATGCGTCGCCGGCTTCACACTTAGGTCGCTCTTGAGAGGTTGTGCATGCAAAGCAAAAAAAGTAGTAGTAGTAGTAGTAGTAGTAGTAGTAGTAGTAGTAGTAGTAGTAGTATTCATTCATTCAGCACGCACACCTTGTCAGATGATTCGCGACGGGAGAAGGCATGTGACCATAGGACCACACGGAAGCTCCAGGCTTCACCGCACTTTTGACGGCCCACAACCTAAGAGATAAACGATCAAAGACATCCTAATCGAGCGTCGAGAGGTAGTGATCCGCATCCTCCATTACAGATCTTGGCCCAACCTCATTCCACCTGGTGGC